CTTACGGGCGAGATTCCAAGCCGTTCCATTGAGAGCACTATTGACCTCGATGGCGAAAGGCTGTTGAATCTTCTCCTCGCTCGCACGGTGGCTAACACTCGCTCTCTCCTCGAAGTTCCCCCCGCAGGCAGGGTCGCCATTGCAGCGGGCTTCGCCCTCTCTGTCCACGTAGGGGGGTCCATCCTGGAGCTGGCGCTTGGACGGCTAGAGGGAAAAGAACTATGCACATGCACCGATTCTGGCCAGGCCCACCCTGAGCCCAGGATCGGTGCATACGCCCTCCTACCTTGGCCAGGAAGGCATATGCACCGATCCTGGGTCAAAAATGGGCCTTGCCAGGATCGGTGCATGTGCATAGTTCTCTTCGCCCGAACGGCGTCATCTTGTCAAGTATGGAGCTGCTGTTGAAAGCGTTGTAACTGATGTTGCTGCCCTCGCTCGGGCGGTCGCCGCCGCTGTCGTCCCAGCGGTGGATAAGGAGGCCGCCGACGGCGATGATGCCGTCGATGGCGTGGGGCGCGCTGTGGAAATTCACTAACATAAGGGCTCCCAACTTCGCGTTTCGCGCTGCGCGAAGCGCGAAGTGCGAATAACTTCGCGCTCTCGCGCCGCCTCCCAGGGGAGAAGAGGAGGACGAGGAGAAATCGGAGCCGAACCGCGAAGCGCGAAGCGCGAATAACTTCGCGCCCTCAAGGGCGCCCTTATAACACGAGAAAAAACGCCTGCACGGCCACTCGTTATGAAATCCTCGCAAACGTGCAGCAAAAAGTGCTCGCGCGACCAGCGTCAGCTATAGTCACTGTGTACAACCGGCTGCTCTTGACGCAAGAAGAAAACATGAGAAATTGATATACTTTATATCGTACTCAGGTTATGTCGCGAGTGGGCGCGTACGCCCTCCCCACCGGTGAGCCGAATGGCGAAAGGAAATACTAAACACGAGCGAAAGGAAACAACAACAACAACAACAACAACAACAACAACAACAACAACAACAACAACAACATAATCTCATTGCCATATCGAATATCTCCTGTACTCATCTGCATACGAATCGGCATTTCACACATTGTCCACGGCGGTTTTAGCTTGTCGACAGCGGTTTTAGCAGCCTCCAACGCTTCATTTCGGATCGATCTGTTGTCTCCTTTTCTTCTGAATCCGGGTGTCGAAATGAATATCCCAAGCACTCTGGGCGATACCACTTTGCAGCGACACCAAAGCAAAACATCGGAGGCTGAAACCCTTGCGCTGGAAGCTCTCAAAGTCCGCAGGAGTACGCGGCGTCCATGCTATCATGCGTTTCTGATACGTGCGTGAAATGAAACGACTCTGGGACTAAACAGACAAACAACAACCAACCTGTGATCGGATCATGAAAAAACCTTGTGTCGCATTGATCGGGCCTTCGACGTACCGACGACACTGCTAGACACCCAAAACAAATCGACTCGCGACCTCGTGGACTTGTCGGTGCCGGCCATGCGGGTCCAGAGGCAGCATTCGGAGAGAGGACCACCATCGGGATGGTCGCTGAAAGTGCCCGCGCCACAAAACCATGGAATCGATCCTACATAAAACAACACGTATTTTCGCATGCGAATGGCTCGACCTGGGCTGTAAAAACAAAACTGCCAGCGTCGCCTTCCGAATTAGCCGGCAGGCTGATGTTCGCATCAACCTCTCAAACTATGTGAACTTGTACTGCGGCATACTCATCGCGAGTGCCGTGCACGTAATTAATGCTTTCCTAGAACACAACATCACCCCGCCCTCCTTCCACAAGGTGGTCCAAAATGTGGGTTGCTTGTTTCTCTCTCTCTCTCTCTTTCTTTTTTCCTCTCTTTCTCTCCCTTTTCCTTCGAGCCTGATTCTCAATATTCCAGGCTAGCGGCCGTCACCGGACCCGGCCCACCCCCAAATGACGTCACATTCCCCGCTGGCGGCGCCTGGAACTGCCTAAAGATGACCGAAGCCAAGTCGGAACAAAATGTAGGTAGCGATCTGCGCCGCAGCGCGCGTGTACACCACAGTGCCCGCGTGCATCACAACGCGCGTGTACACCACAGCGCTTGTGCACACCGTGACAGTTGTGTGCACGCAGCGCCTGTGTACACCACAGTGCTTGCGTGCACCACAGCGAATGTGTACACCGCAGCAGCCGTGTGCAACAAAGCGCCCGTGTGCACCACAACGCTTCCGTGTACATCACCGCCTGTGCACACCACAGTGCCTGTGTACACCATAGAATCCGCGTGCAACGCAGCGCTGGTGTACACCACAACGCCTGCGTGCACACGACAGGTAGGAGGAGCATGCAGGTAAGAATCTGCTGCGAACTGTTAAACACAACGCAACAGACATGCTGATGTTTGCCGTTGTTTGTTCCTCCTCCCCCTCATCGTCCTAATCCTCCTCCTCCTCCTCTTCCTCCTCCTCCTCATCCTCCTCCTCCTCCTCCGCCTCCTCCTCCTCCTGCTCCTCCTCCTCCTAATGTTCCCCCGTCGTGCAGGTCGGCGCTACACCGCACGTGCGCATCTTAGTGCGCACCGATGAAAAGTCTACTGAGTCAGTCCAGTTGGTTCTCGGACGGCCAAGTATGCGGGAACCTCCAGGACGCATATGAAAGAGTTTGGATGATGCGGGAAGATTCGGAACGACTCGTAGATTCCAGCGGCGCTCCTCTTTCCATAAGGACTCCTTTCTACAAATCCCATATACATAGAGAGAGAGAACAAGTGGTTTGTTTATGGAATCCACAGGCGCTCTTTTTTGTCATAGTACTATTTTTAACATTTTTATATGCAACAACGGTGCTCTGTCGGACACGGTTGCTGCGGTGCACACAGCCACCGTGGTGTACACAGGCGATGTGGTGCACGCAGGCACTGTGGTGTACACTGGCGATGTGTTGCACACGGCTACTGTGGTGTACGCAAGTGGTGTAAACTAGCGCCGTGGTGCACGCAAGCACTCTAGTGCACGCTGGTGCTATGTTGTATGCGGGCGCTGTGGTCTACATAAGCGGCGCGGTGTGCACAAGCGCTGCGGTGCACATCGCCTCCCACATGCTGATGCACCCGTCCTCGGTCAACCTTCAGAAACATTCCCAAACGCCGCCGGCGTGAAACGTGACGCCATTTGGCCCATCCCCCACCCCCAGGTGACGGCCGTCGTCGCCGCGGAATACATTACCATGCGCCGTACCCAACGCATCGGCACAAAGGGATGATATAAGGTGTGCCTAAACGAAGCAGCAACGCTGCAACGGACGGCGCAAGGCGAATTCATGTATCGTAAGATGTGTGCGCGGCCGACTCGCAAAACAGAGGTACAAAAGACCACGAGGCATGTACTGGGAAGGAGAAGCAGAAGGAATACATTGGGGTGGAAGAGCCATCACCTCGGCAGAAGCAGCGATATTATGGAGCATTGACAAAGTAAGATTACATAGGCGGAGACGCAATCAGACAATGAAGTGTCGCGTTTTCCAAGCCGAAATGCTCAACACATGCTCCTCTTCCTCCTCCTCCTCCTCATCCTCCTCCTCCTCCTTCTCCTTTTCCTCCTGCTCCGCCTGCTCCTCCTCCTCCTCCTCCTCCTCCCCATCCTCCTCCTCCTGCTCCTCCCTCTCCTCCCCCTCCTCTTGTTCATCATCCTTCTCCCTCGCCTCCTTCCTCTCGTCCTACTCGTCCTCGTCTTCCTCATCCTCCGCCTCCCTCTCCTCCTCCTCCTTCACCCATTTTCATCTGGATCTGCGTGGGACCCAATTGTGTTGCGCACCCCAGCAGCCCTCAAGGCCGCGACAGTTTCACAATTCGCAAACCCCCCAGGAATAGCGAGGTCCTCGAGGTTTGCGTGGAACCCCATTGTGTTGCCCCCCCCCCCAGCAGCCTTCAAAAGTGGCTACACTTTCACACTTCGCAGCCCCCTCGCAGGGACGGCGAGGTCCCATGCCCCCCCCAGCAGCCCTCGAAAGTGGCGACAACTTCACACTTCGCTGCGGGCTCTCCCAGCAGCCTTCGAGGAGTGTCGACGATCTCACACTTCGCAGTTCCCCAGGGATGGCGAGCTCCCGTCTGGGTCCGCGTGGGGCCCCGCTGCGCGGGCTCCCCCAGCAGCCCTCGAAAATGGCGACGGTCTCACGCTTCGCGGCCCCCAAGAGGGATGCGAGAGGAGATAGCCGAGAGGAGAGCGGGGGGGGAGGAGGAGGAGGAAAAAGAACGCGGCGACCCCACTGCTCCAGTCAAAACGAGAACCCAACCAAGTGAGGGGTGGGAAAAACAGGCTCATCCCTCTCTCCCTCTCCCTCGCTACACAGACCCCTCCCCCACCCGTTACCTAAAGGTCACGACAAGAAGCCTTGGCATTCTTTGTCTGGCCTTGGTGGGGACCTTGTCTGGCCCTTGGACCCCCGAAAACCACCCAGCACAAAATCCAATCGCAAGTCCTGGGGAACGGGTGGAGATATCCGGTGGTCCACGCTGCGGAAACATCATGAGGTCAGGAAGGTCTCCAAACCTTGCAGGACCTTCGGAGACCCCTGGGACGCCCAAAGGTCCTTCCTCCCTCCCTGTCTCAGCCAACCTCGCCTTTCCGTCATCCTCCTCCCTCTTTCCCTCCGTGGTGCAAAGTCTCGAACACCCATTTTCAAGCGTGGTACATAGAAGTCGATGCTCTAGGAGAACCACACCTCTTGCGATATACACTTGAAACAACTGGACACACGCATTAGAATTGCGATTTGTCAAAGCCGCCTGCTGCTGTCACTGGTACCCTCCGCCAAGCTAAGCGCCCAGTCCGTCACTCTAAAATCCATGCCAACAACCACCCCGCCGTCCTCCACATCCACCTCCGTTCCCCCTTTCACCGCCGTTTCCCCCTCCCCCTCCCCCCCCCCCGCCTTTTCCCAGCACCCCTCTTCCAATCCATCCCCCTTTTCTCCGCTTCGCTTTCGTTCCCTCCCCCCTTCCCCCTCCCCCCGCAGGGTGGCTGCGGGCCGCAGAAGAGCCCCAGCACGCCACCGAGCTGCTGCATGGGGCCGCTGCGTGCCCCAGCGCCTAGGCAGTCGCCGGCCCGCTTCCGGGAGGGGCAAGCGCCGACCACCACCCCTCGAGCTCTCACCCCCCCACAGCAGGAAAACGACGGGTTTGGAGGAGAAGCGAACAAAATGGAAGGACGACAAACAGAGAAGCGCAAAGTGCAGGATTCTGTTTTGCCACACGGCTGGCGACAACACATCACACGTGGCAGCGGTGGCATACGACAGGCTGTGTAACGAAGACACGTGGTACACTCGGGCTGCTGAAAGAAGGAAGGATTCATAGGGAACGAAAACCAAAAGCGCCTGCGTGCACGAGGAGGGCTGGGGGGAACAGCCGTGCAAAGACCTATAGAACAGCGAACCGTTTCCGAACCCAAAGCGGTTTTGATTTCAGCGTCTTGGCTGTACCGTTCGAGCATGATTCCCCACGTCGGTGGCTCCGCCGCCCCACCTGGCTCTTGGAACAAAACCCAGCGCTGCGCGCGCCCAATCCTTCGGCACACACACACACACACACCCTGCCTTCGTGGGCGTGCCAGCCTCAAAAGCGCTGCAAAGCACAGGCGGTCAAGTCAGCACCTGTTCGTGAACATGCTTTTTCGCCGAAATGGGCGATGAAAGAATGCAGTGCTACACTGTCCATGCTCTACTCTAACACGCCATCAAAACTACTCCCTGCATCTACCTTCCCATAGCCGATCCGACGAAAGGGGGATTTCTTCACCCCTCCTCACTGCGAGAGAACACTTCGGGTTGGCCCACTGTGCGAGAAGCCGAGAAAGGTCCTTGCCTCCTACAACTACCGGTAGCAAACCTGCGGCGACCCAGCGCGACCACCACTGAGCAGAAAAGTGTAGCTAGCGCGGGGCTGCCCGCAGCCAGCTTGCGGGGGGGCGCGGGGCCACCCGCGACCCCCCTGAGACTGCTCTTCCGCCCGGGAAACGCCGGGAGCAGAGCAACCTGCTTCCCGAGGGAGCGGGGCTACCCGCGCCCCTGGCGTTCCCGAGCGCGGGGCAACCCGCGTCCCTGCTGCTTCGGCTTTGCGCCGCTCTCCTATTTCAAAAGCCGCCCTTTCGCCGATCTGCCGCTCCTGCACTCCTGGCTGACGCCCTTGATGTGGGCGTCGATCTCCTTACGACCCAATGGCTTCGCAGTAAGTCGCTCCTGCTTTCGGCCGCCCGATCTTGCCCAGCTCGAGGCGCTGCATGACGATCCTCTCCTGCACCCGCAGGTAGCGGGCCCAAACGTGCTTCAGCCCCCCAACGCCTCGGCGCGACGCGAAGGCACGCGCCGCGGAAGAGTCCGACGCCACCTTAACTTTCGAAGGGGGCCTGCCAATCCTCGAACATGCCTTGGATGCCTGATCCGGCGAACGCGCCGGAGCTGATTGCGCAGCACTCGTTCTCTCCAGAGGAAAGTCCTACTACCTGCAGCAGGTTGCGAGCGTGCCTCACCACCTGGCCGCCGACGAAAACGACCTGACCGACTGTAGACCGTCGGCTGATCTCGTCGCCGGCGTCGTCGCTGTCCACCATGACCAAGACGGGCCAAGGACTGCCCCCGGCAATGCGCTTGTCCCTGCGGAGCACCTGCACCACCCAAGGCCTTCCTTTCGGGCATCTCGCCAACCTCTCCAGCCTTGCCATGTCGACCTGCTTCGGGCTCTGCATGCGCATAGACAGATTCTTCACGGCATCTCCAATGTCAGCCCGATCGGGTTCTAAGCACGACGCGCACATGGTCGCGATCCTGCAGGGGCGGATATCGTCGCCGACAAGCGGGGGCGAGGCGGACCGCTCCTCCGCTTCGGCCTCTCCCTTCTTCAGTCCGGGGACATCCAGCGTCTTAGCGGATTTCTTTTCGAGGCCCATGTCTCGAACTATCATCTCTGCGTGCCGGGGATTTGCTCCGACCTCGACGCGCCCCTCTCCTAGGCTTCCCGCAATTCGTAAAAATCCCGTCCAAGAAAACACCATCCTGCTCCTCTCCAGAGCCGAGCCTGAAGCGACCAGCCACCTTCAAGCCGCATTCCTTCCGCCGCGCTCGGCCATCAGGTTTCGCCCCCCACTTGCACATGGCCCCTTCGACCCCCTCCACGGCGTCCGGCCCCGGCAGCTCCAAGATGCCAGGTCTCCCCCAGCTACCGTCGTCGCGGGGGTGCTGGCGCAAGAAGTACCTGCCCCTTGCCCTCTGCCTCCGGTAGCTCTCAGAAACCACGTCACGATGACGCGTGGCAATACTCTTCCCCTGGAGCGCCTGCTCGGGGCACCGATCGAGCCAGGATGCGCCCTGCAAGTCTGCGAGCGCCGCGGAAGGGAGCGAACCAATGAGGAAGTACGGATCCTCGCGTTCGAGCGTGTCGAACCACTCCTTCACGTCGCCCTCATACATAAAGTCCCAGTGTCCACCACCCGGTCTGTCGGCCTCCATGTCTGCACTCACTCCAGGCCTTAGACCCAGACGGCACGCGAGCGCAACATGCCGCGGAGACGGGCACACTCGTGGACATCTACTGCTCCCAGTTCCAACCTCAGATGGGTGGTGTCCTCCAGCTCCTCCGCCGAAATGGTCCACCTCGTTCCGGTGACATGCGAGAACGATGCTCCTCCGATACGCACTCCCCCATTCCTCCGCCCTCGTCGTCGTCGTGCTGCTCATGTCCACGTCTCCTCCTGTCGTCTCCAGCGCGAAGCCTCCCGCTGCGGCGGCGCCCGCTACCTGCGCAGACGCTGCACTGGCCCCTGTTGCTGGAGCCGAGCCTCCAGACCCTGACATCGCAGCCGGAGCGGAGCTACCTGCTTCCGGCGCACCTGGCGGCAACGACGCGCCCGCGTCGTCGTCCGCCGCTCTGGCCAGCTCCATCAGCCGACCTGCTCCTCGACCTCCCGTCGAGCCTCTCGCCAGGTGCGACGGCAGCCAGCCCCCCGCGAAGCCGCTCCTCGCCCGGCGGCGGCGGCGCCCGCGCCGCCGCCGGCGGCATGGCTGGCGCGCCTGCCGCTGAAGCCGCGGAGCCTCCCGCTGGCCCCGGATCCTCTACTCGGGCTCGTTTCGCCCGGCGCGCGCCCAGCCTGCGTCGGCCCGCGTCGCCCTCCTCCATCATGCTGGCCATCCTCCACGAGCGCTCTGCTGCGCGGGCGCGCCCGGCTAGTGGGCCGCACATGATGTTAAGACATGCCGGACACAACGGCGCCCCTCCAAACGCTCCACGTCCGCCTCAGCACGAAGGGCTTCCTGGGCCCTGGCACTCCCCCCCCTCCTCGTCCTCCTGCTACGCTTTGCACGGGTAGTGGCGGATTTGCCGACCCTGCAGCCCCCCGGCCTACCAGCAAGGGCCTCCCTGGAGCGGGGGCGACCGTCCAACCGCATCCGGGGGCTCCATTTCCCAAGGCGCCCAGCGGGCTCCCAGCGCTCTTCCGCTGTCATCTCATTGTAGGTCTTGCCTCGCAGAACCCTTCTGGCGGTCATAACCAGCAGACTACCAGTCCGGCCGACGCACCAGCCCTAGGAGTCATGCCGCTCCGCGGCTCCTCCTGCGCGAACCCCGCGAGTGACCGCTCGCCGAATCCAACGCCAGTTTCGCCCATCACCTGCCCGTGCACCTCTGTTCGGCGGACCTCCCGCCCTCGCCGACCCGGTATCTACTGGGACACGCAGCAGCACGTCGTGGCAGCCACGTCCAAATCGGACGGTGCAGCGGGAGCCGCGTACCGATCCTCTCCTCAAACGATTCCATCTGCGCACGCACAATGCGCTTCACCTCCTTAACCACGTGATCAGCCTCTCCGTTCGCTGCGTGGTCTCCTACAGGAGACTGCTGCATGACATTCTCCACTGCCGGCATCTGATCAGCCACAGAGTGCTTCAAGGCTACAAGGCTGCGTTCGCCGTCAGACCGGCCCACGCACCTCCTTCCAACCGAGCTCCCTCAAGTAGCCCGCGAAGAACTTCACTGGACAGGGGTGCACTCCCTTCTGGGGCACCGCCGTCGCCGCATACCCCTTGGCACGTCGATCCCGTACCACCAGCATCGGCAATGCTGGGCCCTCACTGCCGTCGTCGGCCAAGTAGCCGTAGTTAGAGCACGCCACAGGAACAGCTGTGAGGGTCTTCTTCTCGGGGTCGGCGTTGTTCGACAGTGCCCCGCGCCGCCTGGCAGCGGCGGCGCCAAGACCTGAACTGAGCGCGCCCCATAGCGTAGTGCTCGTTCACATATTGCGCACTCCGTGCTCGAGGCTCTGCCCAGACCTTCAAATCCTGGGCTTCCTCCCCAACGCCTTCAGGAGGCGATGGATTTTCCGCAGCGGGGCTGCCCGCGCCCGGAGCTGGGACGGAGCCACCCGCACCCCGCTCAACCTCCAACGGCCTCACGGGCGCTGGCCCTCCCGCAGGAAACCCGACGATAGGCCAAGCAGCGCGATGACCTCCGCGCTATCCACTTTCATGTAGAAGTTGCGGCGCCCCCTCTGTACACTGGCGGGAACGAGTCGTCGCCGAAACGCCTCACCAGGCGATCGAGCTCCTTCTGGAGCGCCTTCAAGACGCGGCCACCCATGGAGATCACGTAGCCCCCGCCAGCGCTCAACCATATCAGCTGGCGCCCCTTTTTTCGCGCACCTGGGGCGCCGATGCAAATATACTGCGCGCGTCGTTCCTCCTACCTGTGACGCACCTTTTGGCATCGCTCTCGCCCTTGCAACGCAATGCAGGACAACGGGGGCGGCCTCCGTAGTCCTTAATGCGCTCTCCGGACGCCGTCATGCATCCAGAGTGAACGGGAGAAGGAGTCAGTGCGGAGCTACCCGCAAACCACTCCCTAGGGCGCGCCGTCGCTGCAGCCCCGCTGCCCAGGTTGAAACGGACATACTCGCATCCGTCGGTCTTGCTCAGAGCAGCGATCTCGATTGTACCTATGTCCAGTCCTCCCTGCTCCCCCTCTGGCTCCTTCTCCCCCTCTCTTCCTCTTTCGTCTAGCGCTCCAGCTCCTTTGCCTTTCTTGCTGCTGCCCCTGCCGCTCTT